GATACTCTATTTCTTACTCTCTGCATTCAATGTAGCATCACTATGCCCACAAAACATGATACCTGAAATGTTGAGTTAATAAAAAGCTATCAGAGAACTTAATGGCTTTCCTGTCAGGCTGAATCTTGCACAGATACATATGAGCATTTGTATTTTCAACTTGTTATGGAAGATGACATATTTACAGAAGGGAATTTTCATCCAGAAAATTAGCAACTGAACATGAGGCAAAATGGCATAATGTTGGTGTCTCATTTCATTTTTGACAGTGAGTCTGTAGGCTGGTGACATCCATACTGCTAGGATTACTCTGAAGTTGTCTTTAAACACAGGATCCAGTGGAGACTGACAAATACCTTCATTATTGCCAATTAGTGCAGAATAGTATGAAAGATGAGCCAATTGCCTGGGCCTGGAGGCTCCTCCAACAAGTGAATTGATGGTGTCACTCAGAAGAAATTCCAGATTTCAGAGCCAGGAGGGGCCACTAGATCACTGAGTCTGACTTCTTGAATAACAAAGCCATTACTTTTACTCTGCTACTTGTATCTTCATAATATCTCCCTTCTCACAGATGGATGATTAGGAAAGATAATAGGAAAACAAAGGGAAGCAGACCTGTCCTCAAAGATAGAAAGCAGCTACAGCCTTGGTGCCCTGACAAAGGAGCACAATGACACTTGCTGGTGCCCTTCTATCATCCTCACAGCCTGGTGGAGCAGCCCAGAGGGTGAGTCTGTCTGGGTCTCTTTAATTCTCAAACAACACTGTCCGTTTGGGGTGAAAATATCCCCTCTGAAGAACATTGAAACCCTGTCAGTGCAGAAGTGTCAATATCTCTGTCAGTGCTGGCATTTTGGAAGCAGCATCTCCTGGGTGTAAATTTGGCCCTAACCTGGGAACAGGACCTCAGAGAAAGTTCTCTCTGTAGCCTGTGATAACTTAGTGGACCTGTGTACATACTGTGAATAGATTTTTACTGCTATTTATATAAGAAAATATAATTTTTTAAGAATAATGTTTTTAAAGATCCTTATATTCTGTAGTATTTAAGACAAGCAGTAAGTGCTATAGATGTCTTGAACAGGACATGTCTCAGTCTCCTGAACCAGTGTGGGGATTTGAGGGGTAGGCAAAGCAGGGTCCCAAGGGTGGAGCTGGCAAACCAACCCTCAGCTGCATGTTGGGTTCTTAGTGGCTAATCCAAAGCCTTCTGCTATTCAGCCAAAAGATGAGACAGACAAGGAGGGAGCTTCACAGCTTTCTAGGGACATTTTGAGTCTACACAGATCAAAGAGGAACTGCAGGACTTTTGGATCCAAACTTATGTCTGCTAGATGAGCTTGATGAGATTGGACATTTTCTTTTTCATCTCATGGTGATCTATTCTGGGAAATTTTTACTCTCTTTCCAGTAAATTAATGTCTTTGATGAGATTTCATCTGGACTTACTCACCCCTTAGATAAAGCCACAAAATCCAACTAAATTAAATTTTAAACATGACCATTTCTTTCCTTAACACATTTGTATTTATCAGTTTATATATTTTCTCAACTAATATTTCCTAGATAAAAAACTAAAACAAGCTTTAATGAGAGCTACAGGGTACATCTTAAACTGCTAGAAATAGGTATTTTCCTTCCTTCTGTGAAAATATTTTTTTCCTAATGGGATTTTAAATTACTGAATTTCTTTAGTGGCTTAAATTACTCTGCAATAAACAGTACATAATCTATATTCTCACCTTAAAGGAGGCTTTCTATTCTCGTTCTTATAATCTAAATTATCTTTTTTTTTCTTCTTTTCATAGATATCAGTAAGAAGAAAGAAATATCTTAGAGTATCTGAGTCAGATTGTCCTGGGAGATGGGAGATGCCCATCTTTCAGTGGCTTTATTAAAGACAGCATTTCTCACCTGTAGTTCAGGCACAGGCTATAAATCCAAGGTGGTGGAATTACATACTTTCCAGGGGAATCACACTCTTTCCATTAGTATCCTGCTATAAAATCAGTACGTTTTTCCCCGTGGGTTTTGTTGTGCCTAGAAGACCACATGAGCAGCATGTGATAGATACAACCAGCTGACAAGAGGACATTGTGAGCTCGGCTAATTTGTTGAAGATACCCAGGACCATTTGAAATGTCCTGGGCAAAGCGGGATGTGCCCACAGAGCTGGCAGATACAGCACACGACCGGAGGGAGAGCTGTGACCTTCTCAAAGATAGGTTTGATACCCCAGGGAAAATGGAAAAAGTTGCCCACATTGATGCTGAAGTTTGCATAAAACCTAAAGCCATCCCTGTCCCCTCTCCAGACACTCGCCACAGTCCCACGGGGCTACAGGACGCCTTGAAAACGAAGCCCATGACAGCAGAGCTCATCAGTTCCAGCTCACGATGGCGTTCCTAACATCTGGACCTGTAACTGCAAGTGACTAGTGACAAGGACACAACGGCTAAGCATAATATCAACATTTTGTTAGCCGTGTTTGCAGAAGCAAGCGGCCCCCTTCACCCCTTGCCCTCGCTGCCGGAGCAGGAACTCCCCGGCGGAGGCAGCGGCCTGCGTGGAGCGGGGAAATGGCCTCGCCACGGGGGCATCGGCACCGGGCCCCTCCCGGAGCTCCTGAGGGCAGCCCGGGGTCAGGCTCGGCCCCCCGGGCTCCCACTGCTTGTGTGGCTGCAGGCACGGCCTGGGAGGTGCCGAGGGATGCGAATTCCCCGTCCCGCCCTGGCATTCCCTGCTCTTATTGTCACTGACCGGCACTGAGGATCAAGGAGTGGCCGCGCTGCTTCTGAGGGGGGATTTTCTGTTGGGGTGGCTGCATGCACGAAATGCGAGGCTTGGATGGAGCTATGCTCTCCCAAACCATTATTAGGGATTAGGGATTGCTCCAGCATCATGTCGTTCTAGCAGTAACTTTTTTTCTTTTCTTTTTTTTTTTTTCTTTTTTTTTTTTTTAATGTCTTCCCAGGAGAAATGTAGGGTCCACTCACTTGTCCTATGCCAGGGAATTTCACAAAATCTCATTCTAACTTATCCATGGCCATGGAAAAAACAGCCATCTCAAAAGATGGCGATGCCCCCGCATTATCCTTAATGTTGATTTCTCAGTCTGCAAGAGGTTGAATCTTCAAAATCCAGTGCCAGAAGAGATATCCTTGCCTTGGCATGCACTGATCAGGCAGGACAGGATGCAGCCGCTACAGGGGGGATGTTGTGCATCTATTCCACTGCTACACGTGATGATGGAGCATGCTTGGTCATGCTCTTCATCCTGCCTTTCCATTGGATAGACCACATTTGTGTGTGTGTGTGTGTGTGTGTACACAGGTGAACATTTGCTGGGTACATTAGGGAATATGAAGATGAACTAGCATATAATAGGAATAACAAGAAAGTATTAAAACTTACTAATATTGTCCTTAACTTCCTTCAGTTACACTTTACACTTTCACCTTTCCCTAGTCAGCCAAATTTCTGTGGTAATTAATGTACTGAAAAAACATTTGGGTTTGATGTACTGCTGTGATTTTAGCCTTAATGCACAGTCTTGGCTTATCTAACTACTTGTCCGGGGTCTTGTGAATCTCTACAGCAGATTGATGCCTCTTCAAAGCCATCTGGAAGAAGATCTACCCACTCTTTTTTTCCCCCTGCTCTTTTAATTGGGACTGCTGGCTGGCCCTGTGTGTCAGAGCAGTACAAAGGCTGAGAAAACAGAGAGGTCTTACACTAAGCCATTCGAAAGGGCAGCAGGAGACGTCATCCATTTTGTGTATAGATATGTTTAGATAGATGTGGTAAGCCATGAGAAGTGGGTGCCTTTGACAGGTTACTTTTCAAAGACTGCTGATTTGCAATGACCTCTGACTGCTCTGAAAACAGCTGAATTCTGCAGACTCTGGTAATCTGAGATAGAAACTGTTTTGAAGTCGGCTGGGTGTAAAGAGTCTATTGCTGCCCTGGGTCTCTCAATACTGCAAGGAAAAGTAGAGCAGGGGGAAAAAAAGGATGCTATAGCTGGAAACTCCCTTTTCTGATTTTGTGTGGGACAGCTTGCTCTGTTTGCAGGACAACACCTAGATGAAAATCATGCACTTTTATGCCCAGAAGCTGTCAGTCCCCTCAAAGCCAGCAATTGACTCTGGAAAGTGTGTAAAAATACCTCGTTTCTCACTACATGATGCTTCCCTGTTCTGTGGGAGCCTCATACAAATTTCAAATGCACAGCATGTTATATACCATGTTGTAGTCTCAGTTATATAAAATATAGACTGCATAGGGAAAGGTAGGAATACCACTCTTTTCTCTCTTTTTTCTTTCTCTGTTATGGATTAAAATTATCAAGTTAGCATAATTCTTCCCAACCTATGCTGAGAACCTTTCTATCAGACACACAGAGGTTTGAAGTTCTATGTTTTAGAAGTCAAAGTAGCCAAGTACCTATGTTAATTTTCTTATAGCATCTCCAACTAATCAGATTTAATAGAAGCTTCACATGCATTTTTAAGCTTGAAGAATAGTATTTGTAGAGCTGCTACAGTATTTTTTTGATGCTGAATCAATAATGACAGGAGACATCACTGTGCTTTTAAATGAGTGATCCTTGCTCAGCACTTACAATGCCTTTTGTGAGGATGGCTGATTTCCTTCTTCATTTCTAAACCTTACTTTTTCAAAAAAACCCAAAACAAAACAAAACAAACAAAAGAAAAATCTAGAAAAGTCAAATGTCCTTTTAAGCTCCAGAAATCAGAAGGCAAATGAAAGAAATGGATAATTATTTATGGGGCAATTTTATGATTTTTAAAGCCATCTTGTAAGTTTGATTTTCATAATACTGTGTTCTGCTTGATTTGGATTGGCACTCCCTTTGTATATTAATTTCAAATGTTAATAGCTTTACAGAAATATGCTAAGTGCCTAAAAGCACCAGAGAAGGTTGCTAACAAAACACCATAAATGGGTCTGAGATGATTAAAGCCCTCATTTGCAAGCAGGAAAATTTCATCTCTGCAATTGTCTCTGGGATAAAAAGATCTCCCTCTGGCCCCAACACTTTCTGTTCACATGCAGATCCCAAACTGAAGTAAGTCAATACAATCCCATTCGCTTTTTCGGGTATTCTGAGCTTTGATTCTTGCATCTATAATCCACATTTTAAAATACAGACAAGTGTTTTCTTCTGCTGTAAGAATAATTTTTAGCCATGTTTCCACAATACTTTGATCTTAAGACAACTGAATTGAATCTAAAATCCTGGTTAAGCATATTGTTAATATTTTGGTCTCTTGTTTGTATAGAAATTATATCAGTATTAGATTTTAAACTTAGTGTAAAGCTGTGTTTAGAAAAAAAATCCCTACGTGGGAAATTTTGTTTGGTTTATATATGTTCACAGTTATTAATTTAGGTTGAAATACTACTTTCAATGCTGTCTTTTTGCACCTTAAATACAGATCCAATTTTAGCATTCTGTACATTTATTGAGAATTTAGTTCAAAGATCTGAGTGGATTTACAGTTGAACTGCCAAAGTTCTTTATATAAATATGTACATAAATACACAGGCTGTATCCCATAAAAAAAACCAAACAGCCTTATTCATCCTGGTTTTTATACTAAAATTTAATTTTATAATTGTTAAAAAACAAAATAAATTCATTACTGACCTTTTAGGGTGATTTCTAAGCATATGGGGATCATCTATATTTTGAAAGCAGTTGTTTTTATGACCTGTAGAGCATACATGAAACACTGGGATTTGAGCTGCTTTCTGTAGGAAAAAAAAAAAAAAAGACAAAAAAACCCCCTGCTCTTTCTGGCTTATAAAATAATTACCTTTTTTCTTGCAGTGATTTATCATATTATAAAAGTATCATCAGCATGTAATGGTCACATTCTGCAGTGCATAACAAACATACATGCTTGTTGCTGCTGGCTGAATGAACGTGTGCCTCCAGAACCACAATGTTCCACAGAAAGAAACATATGGAGATAGGCAGGACTTGTTAATTTGTTCTCAAAAGGATACAGATAAAAGCAGATGCTAAGGGGCAATAAATTACAAATTTTTTTGTACATTTTCTTCTGTAGTTTTTTTGGTGTTTTTTTTTTTTTTTTCTGACTCTCCTACTTGACACAGAATTTCCTTTGGCATTATTTATTGCCAGCCATGTTGCTAGGCTGCCTGGGAGGGCAAAATGGAAAACTTTGTGAAGTGTACTTGGAGAGTGCTCCTTTAAAGCAGGTGATTTGTGAGTAAGTCTTGGAGAGTTGGGAGTGTATTTTAGTTATGTTAGCTGTCTTGTAGTGGGCTTTTACACAGTGAATGAAAGACTCTGGAATATGTTGCTTATATAGGGAATGTTTACCAAGATATTTTTGAGTTCCTCACCATTATGTATGCTATACTCTTCTCAGCATAAAGTTAGAACTTCTGTTTCTCCACTTGAAGGCTGTATAAATGGAGAGTTATATATTGGAAAATGAATGTTAATTTTGGGTTTCCCTTTTCTAGGATTTTAATTATCAGAGAGCAACAACACCACTCTTTAGAAAGCTAGATTTTCATGAAGTGTCTCATGCTACATGCCAAAATGTAGGAGGCATTATAAATCACTTCTGAAAATTTTAGGGCTTGAATGACTGGCCTGGCATGTCCTTTGCCTTTTTAGAAAGGTTTTAATGGGAAATTTACTTAATCTGGGTCTTGTATAAAGCAGCAGCCACCAAACATATCCTAAAATATGTTCAGATATCCTAAAAGCAAAGAGTCAGATCATGATCCCACCTAGGCTGAGAGTGTACATGTATTAAATATATTTCTGTATGGACTTTTCACACATGGAGGAAGAGCAGCTACCAGATCTGTGATACCCCATGGGTGAGGGTAAGGAGTCAGCTGGGAAGGGCTTGGGGAGGGATGCCTGTGAGGATGGGACATGACACTGCTGCTTGAACCAAGAACTTCTCCTTCTCCTTCTCTTCCTACCACCCAGGCAGCAGCTACAGAGAGCTGGGATGAGGGAGGTGACGGGGGAGGCCTGGGACAGGGGCAGCAGGAAGCCTGGAGGCAAGGACTCTGCTCAGAAGCTCTTTCTCCAGCAGTGAGCATGTAACCTGTGCAGAAATGCCACTGGGAGGCTGAGCTGCCAGGTGGGATGTGGCATGTGGGAGATGGCTCCTGTTGGTTCACCAGCTGTGCTTTACACCTTATGCGCAGAGGTTTGTCTATTACACTGGAGAGAGTATGTTTCAGAATCAGACCTGTTCAGGAAAGATCCAAAGCAGCTCTACCACGCAACAAAGATTAGCTGCAAAACCCACTGCTTCCTTCATATGCTCCCACACATTCCCATGAGGTGCTTCCTGCTGACCCCCACTCTGTCAGACCACAGTGGAATCTGTCACAACAGGCTTGTGGGCCGTGGTACCATCAGCCATGGTGTGCACAGGGAGTGTTTATGGTTACTACTTGCCTACCTAGTTGGATGCTTTGGGGTTGAATTTTTATTACATTTTCCTTTTGTCTTTAAGAGGTGTAATAAGTACTGCTTTAACTCAGTGGGTTTTTGTCCTAGGGTTTTTAACTTCACATTATTCTTTCATAAAAATAAGCCACTTCTAAATACATGATCAAGCATCTTTCCACATATGTGTCCACATGTGTTCCTGCACACACAATAACAAATTCCCCAGAGGTAGCCCAAAACAGGTCAGCAGTAGTTTTGCTACTGTCCTCAGTATCAGATGTTTTAGCTGTCAGGTCAGTACCTCGGTTTTCTCAGCAGCCAGTTCACAGATTGAGCATGTTCTCAAAATACAGGCAGTGCAGTCCAACCCAACATGTCCATGCTATTTGTACAGGTGAGAAAGCAGTGAGGAGGCTTAACACATGGCTAGGGAGGGAGAATGTTTCTATCTATTTGAGCTCTGTTTTCAAAGTTGTACATGAAAAAAGCATATGCAATGAAATATAGAAAATCCAACAGAACATCCAACTAGGCATTCAGATGAATTGTGTTGAATGGCTGATGGGTACATAAAATGTTACAATGTCATTTGACTATCTGAAAATCTTACAGACCTCCAGAGGCAATCTATTCCAGGCTCCTGTTCAAAGCATCCAAATAAACTGAATATCATACCAATGATATGAAAAATTTGTCGATCTATACTTATTGCAAAACTGTATATTTGGCCCAAGAATAGTGTTGACTAACTTTCAGAAATTAGTCTTTGAAGGAAATATTTCTATCTTTGTTTTTTTTTATTAACTCAGTGTGGATTACACAAGTAAGCATTGGAGCCAGCTGGTCCCATGGGAGATGGTGACACCAGAGGGTGTCCTGCCCACATGATTTCCCAGGGAACAAACCAGAACAGGACAGGGATGGCTCAGTCTGAGTTGCTTTGACTGGCTTTATTTTCAGTGGGGAAAGAGAGGCACTTCCAAAGGGCAAATATGTCAAAAATGGGCACCTATGAGAAATTAGTTGTTTCTCTGCCCCTCTGGTGGCTGTAGAAGCCATTTAAATAAGGAGTTCAGAGGTGACACTATCCTTCATATGGCTAAAGTTCAGGCTATGAATCGTGCCCTACTGTGTTCAAACAAATGTTGAAGAAATGTGTGCCTTTCTCAGGGCTGCTGGATGGAGAATGAGATAGTGGACTTCTGAGCAATTCTCCCAGAAATGTGCAAAGCTGCAAAAATCCAGAACCTATTTGGGAATCCTCAGCCATCAATAACACAGGCAATAGTGAAATAACAGCAGGACGTTTTACTTTTAAATTCTTCTCATAAAAATGAGGGGAGCAGATTGTTTATATTAACCTTTCTGGGAAATGCAATCAAATTGTCCTTGAAAAATGTTAAAGAAGAAAAACATAAGCGTGACTTTCAATAGCCCTTAACAATCTGTGAACCGGCCCATTGCTAACTGTCACACACAATGTACATTTTGTTTAGTGATTTCTGTTACACTGCCACTCTCTATGAAAATGTTTAAAAGAATAATTCAAGCTGCATGATCCCAGGTGCATAAACATGTGCTCCTCAAGCCAGCAGAGAAACTGCCGAGCCTAGCAGGATCGTCAGACCCACGGGTCAATTCAGGGACTAAGAAAATCATTTCCTATTTTCCTTTATGGATTTGGAGCATGCTGGGATCAGCCAGTCTTGAAAAATAGAAAGAAGCTGTGTCTTCTACAGCAAAAACAGAACTGGGAAATGAAAGATGCCTCCAACCCTGGCCAATTCTGTCAAAGCAGGATGGGGAAAATGTGTGGTTCCTGCTGTCTGAGGCTCCCGGCGGCTGTTCCTTCTGCGCTGCCAGCTCTGCAGAGCCGTGCCCTGCCTTGCTGAGAGTGGCTGCAGGGGAAGCCTGGCCCTGCTCCAGCTGAGGTGGTTAATACCTCACACCAAGCTTCCTCAGCTGAGGTCCCTGTGCCCTTGGCTCCCTGCTCAGCATATTTTTCAGGCACTTGAATTGCTCTTCAGAGGCCTTCAAAGGTGCCTACCTTTCCACTGACTAAGCAAATAGGCTTAAGTGGGATTTCAAGCCTTGGAGTACGGCTCTGTGCCTCCGTGGGAACGTGTGGTTTTCCACAGACTGAAGCCCTTTGCTGTGTGCTCTCTTCTTTAGTGGGACAAGTTAGTGACTAAACAGGTCCTATTTCCCCATGCATGTGAAGTCACAGACCAGTTTATGGCCCCTAAAATACTCTAAATGCAGCTATTAGTATTTGCCATGCTGTGTGATGTAGGATCCCTGAAATCCCTGATAATTTTCTCTTTTTTCCTCTTTTGCACATGGCTAAACTTCTTGCTCCTGGTCTACCAGGCTGAAGCATGGCAGACACTTGGAGTGGTCCCCTGGTGTGGGGTGGAAGTGAACCAGTTGTAGTGCTGTGACTTCAGCAAGCTTGGGCTGTCTTCAGGTTGTGGCAACCCCTTGGCCAGCCTGTGAGGGTGGTGGGATCATTCCAAGTAACCTTTTTCCTGAATGAAGAGGCTCAAGCAACCCTATGGGATAATGCTTGGGTTACCTGCCTTTTTACTCAAATAGAAGCACAAGGTCCCAGTTTGTCTCCTCTTGCTGTCCCTGGATTGTCAAAGCTGAGTAGAGACCATGATGGAAAAACATGGTGTCACTGATCTGCTGTATAGTAAGGAAATGGAACAACTCTAAGTGCATGTGGTTTCAAATGTGTTTATACTACTCTTCTTTAACTTGGTTATCTCCAAGTATTCAGGATGTATAATCCATTGAATGAGGTTCAGCTTGTTAAAACACTCTCTGCACAAGATTGCTGAAGAGGCCTTTGGTAGTTACTCTCTGTTACTCAGATGCCATGATCACCACCGAGGAGACAAATGGATGGCATGGATGTCCTGCAGGAGTGCTGCCTCAGCATCAAGGACCTCAGCAAATCCTAGAGTTTCTTCTCTGAATCGTTTTGTCTTCTGTTCTGTTTCCAGCTAGTTTCCTGATACATTTTCTTTCCTGATATCAACCCCCCTTTTTTGTTTGTTTGCTTTTGTTTGTTTGTAAACCAGTTGTTCACTCCCTATTGGAGAAAATGAAATCCCTTCTCAGTCTTGTTTTGGAGAGATACCACAGGCTGAGCTACACAAGCCTTTCACTGAAGGACTGGCCTTCATAGTTTGCATTAGGTCTTTTAGGCTATTTCTCATTAATATTCCAGTATGGCAACATCCTTTCCCTAAATTCAGTTCTGAAGCAGTATTCCACTAACAGCAAGTTAAGCTGAAGACAGGCACTTTTTTTTCCTTGTTTAAGGATTGAACACAAGTTCAGTAGCTACCTCTTCTTTCTGGCTTAAATCTTACTCCTGTCTGCAACAGCATCACAGGAAGAGCAAGCACTGCTTTGTGAATGACAGTCCTATTTTCTTTTCCCCTTGTGTTCTTTATGGAAAAGTAGTAACATTGGAATTGCTGGTGGACTTGTCTAAGAATTCTTAACTCAGTATTTGCAGAGGTGTTAGTTAATTTTTTATGGTGTTAGGCATTTTCAAAGTTAAGAGTATATAAAGACCCTTCTCTGTAACAATGGCAGATGACAATTTTATTTTTCCTTTTAATACCCTGTAAAATGTGTTTTAAAAGGTAGAGAAAAAGATGAAAAATCAGCAAAAAAATATGTTAATGATTACATTGAATACAATAGCAAAGATGGTTCAGAGGAGAGAAAATAAAGTGAAAAAAGAAAACCTTATGAAATGCTTCAATTTCAAAAATTGCACCATGGAGAGGTCTTCAGTTTTCCTTTGATCCTAAGTGTTGTTATCCTATCTCCTTTCAGTTCAGCACCTAACAGCACATCATCTCTTTGGAAGACAGACACCCTCTCAGGAGAAGGAAAGAAATGGTGTGGTCCTTTATGGAAGCTTGGAGTACCAAGAAGGTCAGTGTACTGAAGGATTTCCTGCGTGTTGCACATGATCCATTCCAAGATAGACAAAATAGTTACTTGTATGAATTAACAGGATGTTTTTTATTTCCATAGTATCCATGCTTTTATGCTCTTGGAAGAAACACACACTTCCTTAGTAGACTTAAGTACTGAAGCACACTAGCAGGGGTGAAATGAAATATGTTTGAAAAACTTGACCTAATAGAAAGCAGAAGAAGGAAGGTTTATCTGTTGTTTCTATTGTCCTCATCTGCTTTACACTGGCAGAGCATTAACATTGAAAACGCTGCTTGGAAAAGATTAAACATTTCCCAATGGAAATATCTGACTGTTAAGGGACACATCCAAACCTGGAAATTTATTGCTTGAATTCTCCTGTCTGGAAACACTCAGGGCTGTGATAGGTGAAGTGCAGGGTGGGTACAGCTGTAGTATTCTCTAACAATATGGTTCCCTGCTAGGCTGCATCTTCTGTGGTGCAATGAGAAGGTTGAGGCAGACCATGGGATAGAAAATAAATAGATAGAGAGATAGATGGATAGATAGATAGATAGATAGATAGATAGATAGATAGATAAATAGACACAGCCAACATACAATGAGCTCACCAAAATACAAATGTTATGACACTCAGAGAGGCACTTCACGACAGAAACACTTGTTTGCCTGTTGGCCAACATCAGAATTTTTTTTTCAGTTTCAGTTAATTAACTGGCAAAATCCAAAAAGAGTAAATCACTTCTGAAAATTTTTTTTTTTTACTTGTACATCACATTTTCCTTTGCAAAGCTTCCAAAAATGTCATTTTGCAAGCATTTCTTTTCTTTGTGTTCATACATTTTTCCCCCTTCAGTAGAACAATACTGCTTGTGATCCGACTGGTTTGTGTTCTGACAAAAACTGATAGGACCCATAAATGTGGTTCTCTTTCATTGTTTTGTTTGGTTCTTTGGTTGTTTTTCTCCCCCAAAACCTAGTTTGTTCAGAGTTTCCAAAGAACAGGGACAGTTTTAATCTGGGTTCAATTTGCTTCAACCTAGGAGCTTTGGATCTTGATCCCCATCTTCAGTAAGAAAATAAATGAAAGAAGGAGTAGCCTTTTTTGCCAATTAATACCTCCCTGACTGACATGGATTCAGTTCAGCATTCACAGTCTCCTTTCAGCTCTGGGGTGGACCACAAATGTCCAAATAGCCAAAGAATCAGCAAAATGTTTTCTTAAAAGCAAAGAAAACACAGATGCTTGAGCATGAAGAAAACCGTTCAATTTATCTTAGAAATAAAGAACTTTGTGACCCTGAAGGATATTTGAGGATTTGTTTTAAATCCTTAACAACTTGTTCTGCATGATTTAACAGTAATGGAAGCTCTATTTTGTGCACACCCTATTACAGCTATGCAAAGCAACCCTAACACTGTTAATGTGCTTCAGCAATCATATTTTTCACAGTTTTACCACTGTTGACTACCTGTGAATTGAAGACTGTGGCCCTGACCCCTGGCAGCCCTCATGCAGCTGTCACACATAACAGTCACCTGCCCTGAGATGCTTTCTGTGTGTGCCATTGAAAAAAATGAGTGGTGGGAGGTACATTAGAGTAATATGAACTCCATCTCCAAAGGATTAGCAAGAATAATCACAACTTCCACGGTCAGTCCTTTACGATTTACAATGATTTGGATTTATCTCCTACCCGTATGCTCACTTTGGGATTTCTGGCTGTGTTTTCAGGGGAAAAAAAATCAGCAGAAAGGAAGCATTAAGTTTTTCTTTCACTCATTTAGGTCACAAAATGGAGCTTAGAGAGAAAAAATCAGTAGCTTTCAAATGCTATTACCTTGCTAATGACAGCTCTCATCGCATGACAGTTCTCAAACTGATAAGACATTCCAAACATCCACAGAAAAGTCAAAGAGGTTTTTTAGTGCCCCAGCTCTGTTTCTGCAGCTTGCACATGTTTTCAAACATAATTTCATGACTGCTTTCTGACAGCTCATTAAACAAAGGCCTCTTGGTACATATAGTGCCCATCTTCCTGCTGAGATCGTAACATATTTATGGTGTTTGCAGATTGCTGGCTGTTTGCTCCTCTACTTCACAGTGTCCTGCCTGCCAAACGCTTATCAGTGGAGTGAAGGTGACAGTTTTTCCCATTTGTGTAGGTAGCAATGGTCTTGTGTTTGACCCTCAGAGGCAAGAAGCAATATGATTAGAAGAAGCTCCTGCAAGCAATAGATAAAAGCAATCACACAGGGAGAGAGACAGTGAGGAAGAGCTCAGGGGAGGAGGCTGATGTTGTGGAAGCTGATAGCTTGTATTCAGGGAAAGTGCTGGCAGTTAGTTAGCTAGACAGCTGGTAACATCCAGACCTTGTGGGATTTCAGCTTCAGACAAAGCAAACAAGGATTCAGGAGTGTTGAGAAGCTATCTGGAGCGGTGTACAAGGGCAATCAGAGCTACTCACTTCTAATTATCTGCCTCTTTCCTGCCATTAAACTATCATTATTATACATTCGAACCAATAAAGTTTAGTGAATTTTTCATCTTCTATTTTCTTTAAAAGCTGGTGCCAAATCCCTGCTTTCCTTCTGAACAGAACAGATGAAGACATCTTCAAGCCAGCCGTTACCATTCATCCATCTGTCCTTGGAGCGTGGCAGGGGACTGGGAGCAGGTTTCTGCTTGTACCAGCACCAGCAGCTGAAGTATCTGTTCCACTTCACTGGAGTAACAAAAGGGCTTACTGGGTTTTGTTTTAAAAAGTATTTTATTTTCTTTTTTTTTTTTTACTTCTTGTCAAGCCTATCGCTTAGTCAGTATTAAAAGAAAATGCAGTAACAGCTCTGTTCAGCTGCCAAAACCTAATCAACACAAAGAAGTTTTCAAGTAGCTGTCAGACAGGATTATGATATTGATCCTAACTATGTGCATGTTCCAGGAAAAGGAGCATCTCTTGAACTAAAAGTCAGAGGGTGACAGGTAATGAAAGAAAAATATTTTACAGCTCGAAGGATGATTTTGTCCTCACATTAGGAGATCTGCCTAATTACAGCTGAGAGAAAAAGCAGCACCTGTGCATGTTTTGCTGATGTCTTACCTTGTACTCTGAACCCCTCATCTCTTACAAATTAGCAGGTACTGAGAGAGTCGCAGCATGAACATAAGGGTTTGAGAAACATCCATGCCATGAGGGAGTAATATGTGTGATTTAATGGGTAGCTCTCCCTGTTTGAGACAGTAGTGAATCAAGAATTTTAGGAGTTTGTCAAGGAGAGTGACTTTGGGATCAGAGACAAGCTCAAGGCTATCCGAATTTCTGATCATTACTGATCATATGACATTATTTATAACACCAGTGAAATTGACTTCTGGGTCTTACCCCCAAGTGGTGAGACAGGTAACAGTCTGGGTTTGAGTACAGATAAAATCAGATGGGTTTGGATTCATCAGGATAAATGCAAACTACAGCAGATATTTGAAGCAGGACAGGAGAATCATAGACTACAGGTCTAAATGTTGTCCCACTTGTCCCATGTCTCAAGGTGCATAAGATGAATCCCATCTACAAGGACTCCAAGTTCTATGTTCCAACACACGAAAGAAAGGAAGAGCCCTTACTTCTGAGGAGCCCAGAGATATACTGGAAATTCACAGAGAATCAAATTCCATGTTTGTTTATTTATCTGTCACCCATCATGGTTCAAAAGAGTAACATCAGTACTCCAACAAGAGGCACATTTGAGGGATAAAATATGGGGTTTGAGGGATAAATCCAAAAATGAGCTAATATAGATTCAGATTTAGTTGCTTTCAACTTTGGTTTAAATTTGTTGGGGCCTTTTTTATGCAATATAATTACCATTTTATGTACAGCGCAAAGAGCCCAAGAAAGGAGCTTTGTGCAGTACTGCCATAGGCACTGTGAGTAACTGCAGTCCTCTGGACATCCCCCAGCAATCCCACCTGTCTTGCCTCCCTACCCACCTGCATATCCCTCTCTGCCTGACTCCTGTCACAGAGGGGTAGCCTATTTTGCCTAGCAACTACCATGTGAGTGATAAGACATATTAATAACAAATAAATTATGCTCTAAATTACAACCCCCCTAAAGCCAGAGTGTAACTCAGGTCAGAATCTGCATTCAATCTTGTAGTCCTGGGTTTTCCAGATACTGCTTTTGGTCTCATGGGTCCCCAGGAAAGTCAGTTAGCCTCTCAGTGACTCATGTTCCCCATCTCTGGTGAAGCAATTATGGTTTCCACCTACTGTGCAAGAGATGGGAAGGATTTGTTTCTCAAGTATCACAGAGAGCCAGAAAGAATGTCCTGGAGAAGTGCTGTGATAGCAGTACTGTACAATGCTGTGCAAAAATCAGTGAAATGCTTTGGCTTGCAAGGAGTGTCAAAATTATATACTTGTTATTTAAGATGCACTATCTTACAGAATTTTCTGCACCTAAAGTCTAGGGCACATCACAATCCTCCTGGTTTGTTTGTTTGTTTGTTTGTTTTTATTCAGGAACAAGATATATTTTAAATAACTGTCCCTGGATCCTTTGTAGACACTGTTGGTTGTCACAGAACTGTGGTAAAGAAAATATGTTATTTTAGTGTGTGTTTTTCCCTGTGTAATGAGCTACCACATCGGTCAATTTTGTTCTCTGTAATACATCAAAGCAATGGGAGTGCATTAAGAACCAAATGAGGGTCTTGGCCTCTCATCTTAGTTTTATCTCCCCCAATAATAATGAAGCTGGGTAACTTCCTAGAAAATAACAAATTGATATAAACAGCACTGGTTTGCCAGCTACTGTCATTGCTGATGGATAATCCTACAGCCTGAATGGGTTGTCCACATAGCTATTTGTCAGCACTGTCTGTGAGGAGCTCTGTGATAACACACTGTGCTAAATTCACTCTCGTGTCTACAAAGGAATAAAAAATGGCTCATTTGAGTCAATAGATGTCACACAGAGTAAACAACAACAAAACCAGGATCTGGTTATATTGCAACCTTGCCAAAAAGATACCCCCGATGCTGAATGGGTTGTTACTGATTTAGGCACCTGGAATCTGGGTACGTGCTAGTAAGTTTAGTTCACTGTTGGTTTGTTCTTTCTCTCATAAGAGTTAAATATGTTTACTGCTTGCATTAAATGCCTACATTTCTATTATTGCTGACAAAACTGACAATGAACATTCATCTCCTTGTAATCTTATTTATATCAAATGGCACATTTGCCGAGGTGCATGCTTCTCTTAAAAAATAAAGAAGTGTTGAATTATGTTTAATGTCTGTGCTTTGGAGCTGATAACTGGGACCTGTCTGGTGCATGGCTGATCAAAATGGACCACCTGCAACAGGAGAGCTGGGCAAAAAACCCAGAGAGCTCTGCTTGCGAGTAGCTGGGCACTCCTGATGCCACATCTCTTTGTATATATTGTCCTGCCTTTAAAAAAAATCCCTTTATGCTATAAAATATGTGCATTGAAAAACTGAATTGTGCAGTGTTGGATGAAGGACAGTAGTGACCATGATGCACCATTGGTAGTGTGGACAGCTGTAAACCTCTTGAAGCACAGGGACATGTTGCTGTTTCTAGTGAGAAACAGACAAACAGGGGAGGACGCCCATTCCCTCTTCACATCACTCTTTCCTCTCAGTCAGCTGGTGAGTCTCTCCTCAGAAAAACAAGGAGTGGTTGTTTCAGCTGATGATGAAACTTCTGGAACGCTTACTTAGAAATATTTGCAGGATAAACCTTCCTCATGTTTTCACCAACACTCTGGCATTGTAGAAACCTCATTGTGGACAGAAAGGTCAAACGGGATGCTTTGTGCATAGCCAGAAAGGAAAGTGTGTCCTGCTTAATGAAGGACACTGCATTACATGAATTACATGAGATTTCCAAGGCAGGATGAAGAACTCACCTTCAACAGCCTAGTTATGGCATAATGCTGCCAAAGGCTTTCAGGTTGCTGATATTCAGTGCCCAGTTTTTAGTGCTAATACCTTAGTATCTCCTTTTCCCTGAGCATCTAGGGTAGGTTGTCTTCTGAGGAAGATAAAAGGAGACAAGTTTGTTAGGAGATCTCCAATGTATGTTTAGTGGCCAAAGACTGATAGTTTTCACTCAGGCTATGGGAGTGAGCACACACATACAAAACTGTCTCACTTAACTGAGCCTACTGATTGTCTCAGCTGCTCAGAAAACAAGCAATGAAGGACCAAGAATAGAGAAGTGAATGATCAGGCCAGGACTGAGATAGCACCTACATTTTCCTCCTAACTATTTCTATTAGAAGTTCAAGTGTCACTGACACTATGTTCTGAAGCAGTTGTCATGTGGATTTTAATGCAGAATAAATGACCCAGGCTTTCAGGGGTTTTTTAATGGAGGCTGGAATGACAGTAAATTGCTGCTTTAATAGCAAGTTTCTCAGCCTTGCCTGAATAGTGTATTTGCTCCCAGAATTAGTCTGATTCAGATGTCGAGTATAAGGGACACCACACATGGTTCATGGAGCCCAAAAAGGCTGTCACACTGTGTATCTCAGTATCTTAATTGGAGGAGTTGGAGTGAAAGGCTGAAACTTGATCAGTTGTTGGATTAGGAGACTATGTGAGGAGAAACAAAGAAATGACCCAGAGTAAAATGGATACCTCAGTACTGGAAACGTTATAGCTTGACCACACACATTCTTTAATAATGCATTTCCAACATAAACAGAGCCACAGGCACTTGGCATATAAGACAGCTTCTCTTTTTTGCAGGTCATCAATATACCATGTTTACATTGTCAGGATGGTCTCAACAGTGTTAAATTATAAATTAGACTCAGTGCAAGTACAGATACTGATTTGTATACTTTAGCAGCCAGAACATGGGCTAACAATTCATCCCTTTCAGGTACAGATTTTAATAGGAAGCTTGGGAAAACCTAGACTCTGAAAAAGTTTCGAAGCAAGTGTTTAAAGTGTTTTGTTCTAGATGGAGCATCACTTGGGAACAATTTCAGTTAAGCACCATTTCGTAAGGATGTCCTTGGAGCAGCTTGCATCTAGCATAGAGTAAAATTGAAACTGTCTCTTAAGGACAATCATCTGCAGCACACAATATTGACACATCAAAATGCCAGTGACAGTGGTGGTGACAGGGGCAGGTTATTCCAGCATTTTAGATTAACGTACGCTGACAGTCTTCAAAATACCCAGGTGGAAAACAAAGCAATTACTTTGGGAATGCAAAGGTACCAAAAACATCTGGAGAAAAGACAAATGTTTTCTATTTGTACAGTGACCTGTAGATGACAGCAGAAATCCCTTGGTCTTCCTCTCCAGAAAGCTGATTGAAAATTAAGTAACAGTATTTCCTGAAAACTTACTATAATGCTGATGGTGTGTTGCTACTTTAGAAAAAACCCCAATAAATATTATGTTCATAGACTTATGATAATAATATGATTATATATGACATTATTTTTGTAGTATTAAAAATTTCTAGGTGCCCACTGACAGAACTGGCCTGAAGCAGTGGTGTGCAGATGGGAAATGCTGCATCTCTGACCTTCTGCCACCCCTTTGCTTTTTGATTATCTGATCCTATGACACACCAAGAAATCTACTCATCTCTGCTTCTTCAGTTCCTTGAGAAAATAAATTTGTTTTACTTTTTCCATGTGAAGGCAAGAGCTGTCTCACACCAAAGCCAAGAACAGTGTAAGCCCCAGGGCAGAGGCAGATAGATGTGAACCATGTCTTACATCTGCTCCAGGATTCCCTCACAGGTCACTTGCTCAGCTTTCTGGGTGTTGAGCCATCAGTGTTTGAAGAGAAAGATAGGTTTTCTTTTTAAGACTGTCACTCTACATACTTATACTTTTCATCTACTAAGATGGGACAGCAAATCCTAAATTTACAAGAGTTCTCTTAGGAAAACTTCTCTATGAAAGTTCAGAAAACATAGAGTTTCAAAGTCAGAATAAAAGCTAGAAAAATCTACTACAAGTCCAGAGATACTGCTTGGAGGGATCTCCTGGTGGCAAGGCTCTCTGGCAGATGGATGTTGAAATGACCATGGATTATTAATTCTTATTTTCATCCTAATAGGACAGAGGGTCCAGTCAGAATTGAGCTCCATTCTGTTATCTCATAGACATGCATTTGTTAAAGCCCACCTCTTGTGCAAAGCTGACTACAGATATCTAATGGAACTTTCAATTAATTTATGCATTTTGCATCAAGGCAGCCCAATCAAAGGAGGCATAGGCTGATACAGGAGAGGAGTAGTGCACATCTGACCAGTACCTTGAATTCCTAGATTTTCTTATTCTGTTTTACTTGGTGGATCAGAAAATGTGAAGTCCCTGAAAGAACTTTTCTGCAATTCTGGTTTGAGGAATTTGTTGATCTATGTCAGATTTCAGCTTGCTTTATAAATTTTCATAATATTCCCCCTCCTTTTTTTTTTGTCAGCAAAAACAATGATAATGCAATTACAATGTTTTTGATGATACTTGAGATACAGTCCTTCTTTATCTCTTCCCTTCATCCAAACCAATAAACTAGCCAGGGAAATCTAAAGAATCTAAAGAAAGAAACCAACCCCCCTATTCTTCCTGTGATCACTATCATCTGTCTGACAGGGGCTCAGACCAGTTTTGTTTGCTTCTCTTTTATTTTACCCACAGCTGACACTAAAGCTGATTGAAAGGATATCTGGTGTGCACAGGAGACCAGGGACATTGAGCTGTTGGTGAGCATAATTTTGGACCCTGAGTTCACATGTACATTTTGGGGGTGGGGAAGTTGTGCTCAAATTCGCAATTGAGGCAATTGTAGTCCTTCTGCCTGTAAAGATAGAGCTCAAACGGTGAAATAATTTTCCCCAGTGATGGCCTTTTCTGGCTTGTGGCTGATTTGGAGCAAGGGTTAGTGCCAGCCCACAGGCAGTGTGAATAATCTAGGAGTTGGGCGCCACCTCAGTTGACGTGCCAAACTAACATACTGGTACAGATATAGACTTTATCATAGATCAGTGGAAATTTCACTGCAACTGTCTCAAATGCTTACAACAATGCTGCATTGCAGGGAATTATATCTCCTTATTCCTTATGAAAATGTGGTTTAAATAATTCAAATCATGTTTTAGAGATTAGTCTTCAAGCACGCAATTTTACCACCCAAAAACAAAAGAAACAGATTTTTGGGTGCAAAATGGTTGAGGAAAGCCAGACTGCAATCCCTATGGAAAATTGGGCTCACAGTTACAAGGTGGGTGAGATCTCCCTACTACTCAAATTGCTATTGATCCAGCTGGGAATCTGATCAAAAGTGTTTGTCTTTATTACTAACTTAGTGAATGGGTTGGATGGGGAGCTGATTTCATTTGCTGCCAGTCACACTGGGGCAAATCTTAGAGCCACTGAAATGCGAGTGAATTATACTTGTTTAAAACCTGTGGCCTTTCTGGAATTTAACCTACTGACAATTTCTTGTTATGCTTTGTAAGAGTCTAAATGAACATCCAATGAATATAGGGATTACTTTTGGCCCCCAGCTTAGTACATGCTACACTGAACAGCAGCAAAACTTTTTATCCTGCCATGAGAAGTAGTCAACTTCCTCCATGCAGGAAAAAAACTGCCAATACAATAACAGATTAATCCTGTGTTGTTATTTTCTAAACATAACTTTATAGACATTACAGTAACATCAAAATTAGGAAAAAAACTACAGCTGTAAGAGCTTTGGAGAAACCTGATGAAGGAAATCTGTTCCTACAAGGACAAAAAGAAACTACAAAACTTATAAGCCTGGAAAGAACTTACTAAAAAGCAATGGGCAGCACTGACTGGGATCTAGAGGTCAGAGGCACTTCCCCTTATTATGGTTATTCAGTGATGTCCCTGAAGGGAGATGGTAGCGTGGGGCCAGCATCCCAGAGAGCAACAGCAGTCACAGTGTTGGAGCTCTAAGGATGGGCCAACAACATTGCTTTTCTACTATACAAAGGGGTCACTGGTGGTATTCCTGGACAAGTATTCCTATCCTATGTATATTCCTGTCCTATCCACTCTGGAACTTGATATAACAGAATCACAGAGCCAATAAGTTTGGAAAAGACCTCTGTGATCATTGAGTCCAATCTATATAGCTTGAACTCAGGAAATAGAGAACATTAGGCTCAGGGATTGTGTTAGTCCAGTAGACTGATGCATATTCAAGAAGCTGAGCCCTGTAATCCTGTCATCAGCTGGGCTGTCCTGTGGTGACCAAGCCTGCTG